GGAGCCCTCTTTTTAAAAACGAGGAGTGGGAGCGGGAGCTAGCTCCTTTTAGGACTGGAGTGGAGGAGGGCCGCTCCACCGCTCCTTTAAATTTATGGCATAAATTAAATTATTTTTTAAGTATTAATAATATTTGTTAATTAAAATTCGATAAAAGTGAAATTTTATTTTATTTAAATTTATCCATTATTAAATGTTGAGCCGAATTTTATATTGGTTTTTCTCCTAATCTTTTATTGAAAATTTTGTGGAAAATCTTTTAATAAATTATAGTTTTCATTATTATGGATTTAGAGATCATAAAAAGAAGAATTCGAATTTACATTTCCATTTCTATCAAACAAAAAATATTTATACTTCTAAAAGATGTTGATTCAAATGATTCTTTCTTTACGAAATGATAACTATATTTTTTTATTTTTGAATATTTTTTTTTAAAATTATAATTATTTTTGGGCAATTCATTATAGTTGAGCTTGAGTTGTTAGATATGGTGCTTCTTTAAATATATTTTAATAATTATTTTAATTTTCTCATTACTTGTTCAACCTCCTTTTTTATACCTAAATTAAAAAATATCTTTATAAAATACAATATCCCTCATCTCTCTAGTGCTCCCATGGAGCGCTTATTTAGTATTACAAAACAGGTCTTAGGGGAGAGGCGTGGATGTTTGTTAGATTCTATAGAAAATTTATTACTTTTAAAGGCTAATAAAAGATTATATATATTTTGATAGATCATCTAATATAAATAAAACTTTTTGATAAAAAAATATGATTTTGTTTCGTGTACCTTCTAAAAAAATTAGCGGGAGCAGGAGCTAGCTACTTTTAGAAAGGAGCGAGCTAGCTCTTTTAAAGGCGAACACTCTGCCTCCTTTTGACCCTGCTATCTGAAGATCATGCCATATTAGCTTCCCTCAACCAAGGTTCATACATGAACACTTGGATGCCATCCCCTCTAAAAATCTTGATCTCGAACTTTTAAATCAGGAATTCAGTTTTGCTGTAGCCATTCGCTTAAATGTGATAGTCTCAGTTTTATATAAGTGCACCAAGTGCAAGAAGCTAGTAAATCAAACTGGTCGTCATTGCCTTCAATGCATCTTTAGCAGTGGACGCTCGATCCGGCATAACAGATGCATTGCTCTAATAAAACGAGCTAAACAGTCCGCAAGCTTTCCTGCCACTTTAGAACCCCCAGGTCTCTTTACGGATGGGAGACGACCCGATGGAATTACATAAATTCCTTGGGAGAATGGCCGATTTCTAGCGTGGGATTTCTCCTGCGTTGACCTCCTCTCACCCTCCAACATCAATAAGGACATTTTAAAATACACAGAAGATTTTAAAATGAATAAATATGTGGATATTCTTGATGAATATAAATTCGTACCAGTTGTCACGACAACCTTAACATCCTTTGAAAGTTAAGCATTTAACCTAATTAAAAAGATTGGTAGAGCCTTAAGAACTAAATCAGGAAACCCAAAAGAAGGCGTCTACTTACGTCAACGCATAGGAATTCAGATTATAAAATCGAATTTCACATGCTTCATGGGTTCATTCCTCGAAGAGCCCGATTTTTCTAGATTTTCTTCTTCCCTAAATTATTTAAAATTACCCCCCCCCCCCTTCTTCCTCGTATTATCATTTGCACTAATTATATTCCCATTATTATGCTTTGTATTATGAAGTCGTTGGTTGTTAAATTTCTTAAAATTTCTAGAATTGTTAAATTATATATTTTTCTTAAATTCCGTTATGTAAAAATTACTTATATTGTATTGTAATTATATATATTTATTATTTTTATAAATACAGTATTTTTTTTAAAATGTATATTTATACGAAATTAAATATTTTAATACACTAGATTTAATATATTTTTAAGTTGTACATGTAAACTATTTGTATATATTGGATAAGTATTCTGTATTATTTACTTTTATATTTGTATGCCTAATAAAAATAATTATGAAAGGAAAAAAAAAATAAATAAAAAAAAAATAAAAAAAAATAAATAATAATATTAAAAATTTCCCCTAGTTTCAGTAGTGACTTACCAAAATTAAGATGAATATTTTCTTTAGATTAAATTGTATATATTTAATTGATAGCGCTTTCAACCATATTTAAAATAAACCCTTGTAATCAGTGATTTTGAATCAATACTTTTTTGTGAAAATTTATAATCAGATACCATTTTTAAAATCAAATAGTATTATAAAATAAAAAATTTCCATTTCGTTATTTTTGTCAGGGATTCAGACTCATATAAACCCAAGGAACAGAATAGTGTTCTAATATTCAAATGTTATATATATCTTTTTTTTAACCTTAATGGACTGTGGGAATGTGGTTTCTATTGAAATCTAGATGAAAAGTAAATTATGGAAAAAACCTCCCTCTTTCTAGGAAAAAAATTTGTTTTCAACTTTTTGTTTTTTAAATTCCTCTTTCATAATTTTTATCTATCATGTTTTATTTCCAAGATGTCACAAATCTATACCTTTTATGCTATCTACTAAATTATAAAGTATCATAGCTACCAACCGATTTATCAATTCTCATATTTTTAAGATTGCCCTATATCGCTTAGAATTAAAACAGAAATAATGCTCAATAAAAATCCTCAAACATCGAGAATAAATACTCAAAGTTCAGAAAATACTGAATATAATTTTTTCTAGATATATCATCGTTATTTTCCAGGGGTTATTATTGATAATTTAAAAAATAATTTATTCGCAAATTTTTTTTCTAGATTTTTCGTGGGATTTATTTTCCCCTATATATTTTATTTAAAATCTAAAAAAATGGAGAATTTATTTCAGTGGAAATTTTTTCCGGGGTATTTTCTATGTGAATTTTTTCCCGGAAAATTATCTTCCAAGGGATATTTTTTCCTGAGATTTTTTCCCGGGATTTCCTTGAAATTATATATGAGGATTTTTTTCCCGGTTTTTTTTCTTGGGATTTATTTTCCGCTTCCGGAGGAGTGGGTGGGTATATTTATAATAAAATGTTTGGACATGCGTTTGTTACTCATTTCCTCCAATTTCCAAGCCAAAAGACAAATCAAAAATAGCATTATAGGTAATGTTGTTCAAACGGCTCAATTTGAGTCGATTTTAGTAAACGGCTAACTCAATATTTTATCCAGAAAAATATCATGCAAGCCTAAAGATTTAAATGGCACATAGGATTGAACATCTATTGGCGAAATCTCGAAGATTATAGCACAATATTTTCCTGTCTATAATGTTGAGTTAATCGTTTTTAAAAATCGACTCAAATCGAGCCATATCACTAATTAAAGGATATCCAAATCAGATCTTCTCTTTTCCACCCTATTAAATCAATATTGTACATAAAAAAAAATGGCTCAAATGATTATTATAATTATTAAATTTCTTTTTTTGAAAATAATTATTTCAAACTAAAAATTGCAAACTGCAATAAAGACGTCATAAATAAACAATATTATAGACTTTTAAATAAACATTATTTTTATCTTAATATCGTTACGAATTCCCAGAAAAAAAATAAAAATTTCTTAAATATTATATTATATTATATAATATTTAAAAATTGTTCATTGTAAATTTTACCAACTCATCAATATAAATAAAAAAATAAGGATAAATTAAAATATAATATTGCGTTTATACATTAAACTGGGCTTGGATAAACGAAACTCCATTACAAAAATATATATGTATAATTTTTAAAAATCTCTTTCTTTTCTTCTTTAATATAAACATATTAAAAATTAATAAATATACCATTAAAAAAGAGATTTTATCTCGAAAATTAACAAAATGAAGAATAAACTTCTGCCATTTGTGCTGATCCTAATATTCCATGGATGCGACGGTAACGGCTCAATTTGAATCAACTTTTAAAACGGGTAACTCAATATTTTTGCCAGAAAAATATTTGCCTAAACTTCGAGATTTCGCTAATACATGTTCTAGATCTTGGTTCCTTCTATGAGCAAAATCTTCAGGCTTGCTTAATATTTTTTCTGGATGAAATACTGAATTAGTCGTTTAACATCGCTAAATTTATACATATTAATTTTTTAATTATAGGGACACCATTATATTATTATAATTTTTATATTTTGATTAAATTTTTTTAAAATTGCGTTTGAAAATAACCCATGTAGTTCTGAATTCGAGCGATGCGCAAATAAATGCACTTTGCTTATTTAAAGACAAAGTCAGCTGATTTTTAATTTTGGCCAGAAAAAAAAAATTGATAATAGATGTCCAATTCTTTGAGCTATCTATAAACAAAATCTTCAGACTTTGAGTGATATATTTCTGGGTATTGAGTTAGCCGTTTTTAGAAAATCGGCTCACAATTGAGCCGTTTAACAATCCTAGTCGGGACAGCGAAGCTGGCTAAAATAAATCTTTTTAACTTTATAGCTTCAAAATATCTCAAATTTAATATAAATATTTTCTATCGTTTAATTTATTTTCGTGAAAATAGTTTTAAAGCCTCTATTTAAAAATATTTTTCTAAAAAATATCTTATTTAAAAAAAATAACATTTGGGCATCGTGATTTTTTAGAAATTTGTACGATACAGAATATATTCTCTGTTGCCTCCTTCTTTGATGCCATTTGGAGATTCAATTTCAACTAAAGAATTGTGGCAGTTAATGGAACCTGATTTTTTGTTAATGATATTCCAGTGTTTTTTTAAACGGCTCTCGAGTTAGCCAATTTTTAAATTAAGATTTTAGCCAATATAAATATTATGTATATGCCTCGAAATTTTGTCGATAGATATCCTTAGGGCTCTCTTGAGCAGAATCTCCATGCCTTGTTAATGTATTTTTTTTGGCTAAAATGTTGAGTTAGAGCTATTTTTACAAAAATAGAGCCCTACAACAATATGAAATTCTTAATTATTCTATATTATTTAATATACATACTATTGTGATAAGTATAGTATACATACCATATTTATGTAATAAAAAAAGCTTTGAAAGATTTGTGCGATGTTAAAGAAGATGGTAAATATAACATAACGCATTTCTACGATTCTACAGATATTCCTAACATAGTATTGTAATATATTTTTTTAAATAAATTAAACTTAGATTATTGTATATTTTGTTGGTTTCTTTTATCGCCTTATTTTATTTTATTTTATCTTTTTTTTTTTGAAAAATTACCTTAAATATATTTTTAATTATATCAGAGGCCTGCAGGCTCGACCCTAAGCCCGGTCACATGATACGGGCCGTATTTTAATATTATTTAAATACATTCGGGTTGGTCAAAAAAAATTATTTTTTTAAAATTACTCGGCCGTAAACCAAATATTTTAAATCGCTATGGTTAGATATAAAAATTAAAAATAAATATAATATATATATGAAAAAAATGCGGGCGGGCCTGAAAATATTAAAACCCAGGCCGGGCTGTAAATATTTAAAATTATATAATTTATTAATAGACTCATTACTATAATATACAATTATCATTCTCAAGTATGTCCAAAACATTTTAGAAAAAATTAATTCGAATGTGATCTAAATAAAACCTATTTTAATATTTTTTTTTTTAAAAAAAATAAAAATAAAATATGGTCAAAAACATTTATTTCTAAATTTTCAACTTTAAAAAAAATTTTGAAAACAGACCTAGGCGTACCAAACGGGGGCGGGAGGGACGTTCGCACTCCTTGACGGAAATTTGCCCGTTCGCGTAAATTTTAAACAAATAAAATTTTTAAACGCCTTTATCACTCTCCCCCCCCCCCCCCCCTCATACAATTTATATAATTAACGGGCCGGACCTGTAAAAAGTGGAGATGCCCATTGCGCCTATTAGAGGATGAGAATTTTTTTTTCAATTTTAAAGTCTTATATTTTATTAACATTTTTTATTGATTAAATGAGCTGATAACTATAATCATTCATTCATAAAACTCGATCTACCAGTAATTTTTTTTGGTTAATTAAATTTTCTTTAAGTCACCAGTGTTTGAAATTTAAAAAAAAATGCAATCAAACCCCTCATAATTATTAATTATTTTTCCATAGGATATATTTATGAATTGTAAAAAAAAACCCAGATTGGGCTGGGTACCTTAGTAAAAATAATCGGAACCGGGGTAGGTTTGGCTGACTAAAAGCTTAGATGGCTCTAGAGAGTACTTTGAGCATTATCAGACTTTAATATCAACCTAAAGCTAATCCAAATACGTTAAATCCTATATATTCTGATTAAATTTAAAAAAAATGTAAATATATTGGCAAAGCGATTATAATATTTATCGATATAAAAATAGATTAATTAAACATCCTTAAATTTTTAACCTTTCAATTGTTTATTGTAATACAAAGAATTCGGCTAATTAAAAACAATATTATATAATAATTAAGTTAGAATCATATAAATAAATAAAATAATAGTCTCAATATAGTGAGAAAGGATAAGTAAGGGATGGATAATATCAAATATATTTTAAAAAAATTTACCAAATAGGAAGAGTATAATATGTGACTATACTTTAATTAACACGATTATTTATAGAAAGCAGAAAATGCTTTTGAAATCATATGTACTTTGGGATCTTTTGTAAGGCTTTGAAGTGCGAAGTTGTTTTATTTGTCCACCCTAAATATGGACCTTAAATTGTAAAGTTATTCAATTCTTAATAAATTAAACTCTTTTTTTAAAAAAATAAAAATATTCAATCATATAGGGTTAATCCGATTTACTTGAAGAGACAAGGTAACCTCATTGTAACGGATGCCGATGGCAAAAATATTTTTATAAATAGAGCGGTAATATCCGATCATGCGATATTTCTAATCAATTGGCTAAAGAAAAAAAAATTGTATCATAGTGTTGAAAGCAATGTAAATATACATTCATCATTAAAACTTTAATTTAACAAGTGTTTTTCGATCAGTCAATTTATAGACAAAAGTTTGATTTAAATGAGAGATATTTTTATAATTATATAAGGAACATATTAATTTTCCTCAATAATTACAATGCCTCTTTTAACTGAATGTCAAATTTTTCCCGATTTATCTACTTAACTTTATAATGTATAAAAAATTTATATATAAAATTAATTAATTATAAAATTGTTTATGCTTGATACTTTAAAAATAATCTTAAACTTAATTGAACTTTACGCGTGAAACACTCAATTCAAAAAAAAAACGTTTAGAATTTTATGGACATATTTTATAAAACGTATATTCTTATATTGCTTTTGGTTAATTTTTTTATAAATTTAATTAAAACCTTTTTTATTAATATATTAAATTCTTTCATAAATTATATCAGGTATAGAATAAATTTAATTTAACATAATAATTTACATTAACACATTTGTAACGAAATCATTAAAAAAAATAATAATATTCAAGTTAATTGTTTAGAAACAAGGCAGTTAACAAATTTTAATGTAACGATAACAATTTCTCTAAAAAGCTAATATAACTGAACAATTTAATATCAGGTTAGAGGGACCTCTGGCCGCTGACCGGATTTTTAAATTGGTTAAATGACTAAAATTGACCATATCGGAGTTAATTAAAGATGTGTATGTGTATACATAACATATATACAAATATTGTCATCTTTATATTAAATCTTTCATTACTTAAGATTATTTTATATAATATTGCCAGAGGAATTAATAATTTTTATGAATATTTACTATTATAAATATGTTTCTGCAATAATTTTTTTTTAAAATTCAGTTAAGGGTTAAATTTAATTCATCAGATTCTCCAAACCGCCTATGCAGAAAGATTATTAAGGCTGATGACGCTAGCTATCAGACTTGCACTTTTCCAAATAACCACAAATTCGTAAAATTTTTTTTTTTCTTTACTAAACATACAACTGTTTTTAAAATTGTTAATTCAATATGAAAATTCTAGTACATATTCCTCAGTTTCATCTACCTAAACATAATCACTGTAATTTTACTTTAAAATAATTGGCTAGCAAAAATAACTTTATATATTTTTTTTTTATGGTCAACAAATTTTGAAACCAAATATTGGTGCATTATTTGAATTAATATCCTTGAAAAAATCTCACATATTAAAAAAGGAGATACAGGACATGGCACCATGATTTTATCTCTCTAAGCTTGCTTAAATTAAACTAAATTAATAGACATTTTAAAATTATTTGTCATATATTATGAGATTAAAATCAGTGTTGAGATTATGATTAGATATATATAATATATATATGTAATATATAAAGATTAGGGAAATAAAGGCATTTAATTTTATTAAATATTATTACCTAATAAAAAACAAATATGAACAAAGGAGAGTTAAATTTTATATTCAGAATAAGATACTATTATCATTATCTTTTAAACATATCTTTGTTGTTTGCACTATTTTAGAACGAAGCAGAACAGAGAGGTAATAACCTTACTGTTAAGGAAATTAATAAAGATGGAACATTTGTCAGAAGCGAAATATATCAAAACTCCTTTATATATTATGTAAATAAGGTCTTAGAACTGACTGGAGATACCCATAAAGTCTTAATTATTCTCAAGACATGTAAAGGTATACACTATATTATCTATTTTTAAAAAAAGAATTGTTGTTTTTTTTCAAATATTTGATTATTATACTATACAACAATTATTATGGAAAATATAATTTAACCAAGGACCTTGAATGAAGGCATTTTTAAGTTCCTATTTACATAACCGATTAAAAAATATGTCCCGTTCTGTTCTTCTGTTCTTTCTTTCTTTCTTTAGGAAAACGCTTTTGAAAAAAAAAATAATAGTATAGTGCTATTTAAATAAACAAAAACTTATTCGTTGATATTTAAAATATATAATAGATCTAATTATTACACCTAAATATCCATTAAAAAGATATTCCAAATATATCATTTATAAAATGTTTTATGTAATAAACTATATGTATAAAATTTTCAAACTAAAGAGGTCGGAACGGTAAAACCGTAGTAAAAATTTTATTTCAAATGTCATAACTCAAGAATAAAATTGTATCATGTATTTTTTTATAAATATTATTAAGTCATCTAAATTTATCAATATTAATATGATATACTCTATTTCTTTTTACCTCATCTATAAAATAAATGCAGTCCAAAGTTTCTAGCCCAATTAAAAGTTTTGCTAGTTCCTTGAGAAAATTATATTTACAAAGGAAATTCTTCATTCCACGATTTAAAAAAAATTATATTTTATTATTTATTATAGTATTATACCTAATATTTGATTAATATTGTATATAATAATTTAGATATAGTTACCAAAGATTTATGCGATGTTAAAGAAAATGGTCATTATAATATAGCAGATTTCTATGATCCTGAAAAGATTCCCGAATTGTAATATATTTTATAATAATCATAACGATATCTATTTTTAATTAAATTTAGAATATATTTGATCAAAATTAGAAAAAAACAAAATTACTCTTTCAATAAATATTTATCTATTTTTATATTTTAATACGTCTAATCTAAACCTCAATAATCTACATAACATAATTTGAATTTTTTTGAAATAGACCTATACCCAAATATAAAATTCATGTCTTATTGCTGTCTATAAAACATAATAAAATTTATTTTAAAAACTTTATTGAAATGAATCAAACGAAATAAGCCTTTTCGTTAAATAAAAAATTAAATAAAAAAAAATGTGGCCAAAACATTTTTTGTAGGTTTCCTTAAATATTCTAACATTTCAAAAGTTTGGCTTTGCATACAAACCAAATATACAAGCAAAAATAGGTTTAAAATCGCATTTATAAAATTTTTTTTATATCTGCGAGCAATTGCAAGATATGAGCTTTAAAATTTGTAAAGTTATTCGATTCTTGTTAGTGTCGTTAAATTACCTAACTTTAACCATCTCTTTCGTGGCTTAGTCAAACTTTTAGCCCAAAAAAATGAATTAAGCTTCTAAGATGAGTCTCAACTTGATGATTGATTCAAAATTTTTGGATAAAAACATGGCTACACTATTTTATGGTTGACTAAAGTTAGGTAGTTTAACAACACTAATTCTTGTAGATATAATACCTTACCCAATTTCTAATTAATGAAAAATCATTTATTTCATAAAGAGTAAATCCGACTGTTTATTTGGAGAGAGAAGGGGACCGTATTGTATTGAATGTTGATGGTAAGGAGGATATTATTTCAATGAATAAAAGAAGAATATCCAACGATGCTCTTAATCTAATTGAATGGCTTAATGGGAAAAATTTAAAGCACGATATTGAAAGCAATGTAATAAATCAAAAACATATTTTTTAACGGGGGATTTTTATTTTCAACTAAGGAAAAGCTTTATAAAATTATTGAAACCTCAAACAATTATATCATTTCCTTAATAATTGCAATGGCTCATTTATTGAGCATAACATTTTTTTATGAAGAATTATATATAAATTATTTATTGGCTTTGGGGTTTAACCAAGGGTTGCCCGGTCCCCCAACCCCCCATCGTCAAGTGTACTCCGGCAATTTTATTCAACAAACACGCACATGACTCTACCACAACCTTATTCTGTTTTTCTAAAACTTTCTACACACTAGAAAAAGTTTTCTCGTTTGACCTTAAATTTCAGAACCTTCCTTCTTTCCATTGAAAGTCATATGAATTATGATGATATTATTGTTGTCAAACGAACTCAATATTACATCTATGAAAATTATTACGCAAGCCTGAAGATTTTGTTTGTAGAAGAAACAAAGGTCTAGACATATATTAACGAAATCTGGAGGCTTAGGTGATATTTTTCTGGCTAAAATATTGAGTTAGCCGTTTTAAAAATGGGTTCAAAATGAGCCGTTTAACAAAACTATGATAAATATGATTTAATCAATGACATAACACGGGGGGGGGGGTAGATGTCAGGGGAGGGGTTGATCGTGGCAATTATTTTTTAGCCATTGCTAGGGGGGGGGAATAAAAATTCCCTGCCCTATAGCAAGAATTTTTGGGAAAAAAATATATATAAGGGTTTCATCAATCTGAATTTTTGCAAAATATTTTATTTCAAATAGGTTATAATTTACATTTTTTTAAACTTCAAACACTGGTGGCCTAAAGAAAATTTTATTAACCAAAAAAAAATACTAGTAGAAAATTTCTAGAATGTATGAAAAGTGTTCGGATATCCAAATAGACACAATTTGCTGAATATAATTATTTCTGAGACTTATTGTGCTACATGAAAAAATAAACAAAAGGCCTGCATCGCATGACAAGATGTGGCCTTCGACATCAAGCTGTTACAGCATATAAGTGCCTATTTTGTGCCATTAGAGAAATATCAGAATCACCTGAAACATGTATTTCATATGAACTGTTACAATATTAAATACGAGTGCTAATTTTTTTCACTTGGAATGTATTAAAATATTATCTATTACACCTCAATTATATGCAATTTTTTTCAAAAAAAATGTATTTGGCTGAAGTTATGGGAATATTGAATTATTATATTAAGGAATTTCCATAGGATTTTGATTGCTGAGGATAGTGTTGTTAAACGGCTCGATTTGAGCTTATTTTTATTAACGGCTAACTCAATATTTTATCCAGAAAAATTTTGACGCAACGTATATTTTGCTCTAAATCGCACAAAGGGGACATCTATAAACGAAATCTGGAGGCTTAGGCAAAAATCTTTTTAAAATCTCAAAACGAGCCGTTTAGCAACGTTAGTTGAGGCCAAAGCCAAATTATATAATTTTCAAACATGATTCAATAAAGGATTATTATAAAATAACGGTTTTTATTGCATTTTTAGTTAAATTTTTGACTTTGTGTTTCATTATGAAAGAATCATTTATTTTTAGATAATCTTCCAAGAAACACAATGTAAGCATTCCATATTTTATACTTTCCAAATATATTAAAGTTACTCTATATTTTGGCAATTATACCAAATTAGTACAAGCACAAATGAGAGGGCCTTTTCTTCATTACAGAAAATATTAAAAAACTATATCAAAAATATGACATCTTAAAATTGATTGATTGAATAACTTTACTCATCGAGATCTAATCCCCAACACAAAAAAATTATCAAAAAATTGGCGCAATAAACATAGAAGATTAAATTTTTATTTATAAATTGATATTTTGACTAACTTTTTAAATCATTATAAAATGTTTAATTTTATATTTTATTGTGATTTACATACCAGTTTATATAGCTATAATATTTTTTTTTAACCGTATAGTATTCGCACTTCTCATTTATTTTATTATATAAAATAACATACATACATATATCAAAACTATATAAAATATTTTAAAAAATAATAAATTAATTAAAACCTCATTCTATAAAAACGAAGGTGGGACTACAAGTTCCCAAAAATGTGGATGATTTGTATTTTAAAATTGTAATTTGTAAATTTTGTTTTAAAAAATAATATTCTTTAGGTTCTGATGTAAGAGCTCATATTTTGCAGCCTATAGTTTTTAAAAATTTCAAAGTTCTACTTGACATATGTCCAAGGGAAGAGATAATGATTGGTAAAAAAAAATATAATTTGTTAATTTGGAATATTTAATTTTTTTTCTCGGCTATGTCAATTGGATTAGAATTTAAATATTTTTGAAAATGAAGATACGTTTGTGATGTCCCAAATTAAGGATTTCCCTAATGATCATGGTTATGAGGTTAAGCCATCCGGTCTTAGGCCATCTAATAGCAGGCTCCAGGATGTTTGGTATTCGGGCCCTGGTAAGAGAACGGCTAATAGCTGAATTAATCGCGCATTTACATGTCTGCCTCCTTGACTATATATACAATTAAGCCCTTGTATCCCTTTGGAGTCAACTAATATTTTACATTTGATATATGTATGTGGCTGAACCATGTTATATCTAATCGATGGCCTATGGCAACTCTTAATTGTTCATCTGATAAGAGGTTACCTAGGTTACGACTTGGTAATGCTTCCAACCATTCATTCAGTATAACAGTCAGCATTTTGAAATAGTTGAATATACTTCAAAAAGGGGTTAGATGAGAGTATTTTTAATTAAAGGTTCAAAAATTGATTGATGTATTAAAACTGTGGGTAAAACAGCTTAAGCCAGAGCTAAAGATGTTCAAGCTGTTAAGGCCTAATATCTTTAGAAGTGATAAAAGAAGATATCATGGCGTTGTTCATCAAATGCGATGTCAAAAATGAAGAAAGAGATATAAGATTTAATGGATATAAATCTAAACCACCCATTTTCGAGAGTAATTGTGAGAAACCCCAATTAAAATCTTCCAATTTAATATTTAAAATAATATCTAATATGCTTCTAAAAAATTTATGAACACGATTAATAATTTATTATTTAAAAAAAAAAGGAAGAAGATCTAAAAATATGTAAAATCTTAAAACTTTGGTGTGAAAGTATTTCTTAAAATATTTTCAAGTCCTAATAAGTCTTCGAAAAATTTTTCCACGATCATCTCACAGTTGGAAAAACTGCTTAAAAAAAGTGTACCAAGAAGATTAATTTCACTTT